TTGATTTATTTTCATTGATTTGTCACAAAATATTCACAAACCAGTGAGAAGAAGGTATTTGCGCTGGATTATTTTGCCAATTATCTTTTTCAGCGAAAATAACTAAAAAATTCAATCACAATATTTTAGAATTCAATTATACAATTTGAAAAATCATTTTTTGTCACGCCTTGCATTTCATCTGTCTAATAAAACACATTTTGTTTCATGTACTTTCAGGAAAATGAACGGATCACCAAAATTAGAACCAAAAAGGGCAAGGAGAACATCATTGAAGATATTATTTTTGAGAGGAGGTCTGGTCGTCAACGGAAACAGATCAGCTATCGATTCGAAGAATTTGATGATGCAATTAACTCTGCAATACGAGATGAGGTCAAAGAAAAACAAGAATATCAAGGTATGTCTGAATATTAAGATTTGTGTCTGGCACTTAAAGCTGGAAACTTTGATTTTGCAGTGTACCATTCTCCAATATCAGTTATTAAGAAACTTTCTAACTAAATCCCTTTTTTTTTGAGTATAGCTGAGTGTGAAACAGCCGGTGCGGGTGTGAGTCGAGGTAAAGACATATCAACCATAGTAGAGGAGTCGGAAAAAGAGTTGTCACAAACTAGTCACTGGAGTAAACGAGCCCGCAAGAAAAGATTGATGGATTTAGATGCTACCAGTGAAGAATCTTATAGCAGCGAAGAAGTTAAATATGGAAGCAGGTAGAAATTTATTTTTGTTTTCATAGTTTTAATTTTCTCTTTGCTCTCTGAAGAAATATCAGTCCATCATGCAGTATTGCCATATAAATTCCAGTCTGGTGATGACACCTACCCAGGAAAAATATATTCATTAATCTGTTGTCACCTGTCAGTTATAAATGTGCTCATCACACTTTTCATTTGGGTTTAAACAGAAATTCAGTTTTAATGAAATTTTTCTCTTTTCTGTGTCTAACCACAACTACATGTAAGTCTTGCTTCAAGTAGCGAACATGTGTTTTGTGGTATGACCTTCTTTGTGATGTTGTGCTGTTTTTGTTATTGTTTGTCTATGACTATATTAATAATTCTATTTGTTAAATAGTTCTAGTGACAGTGAGGGAGATTTCATCGCTGAAAATGATGAAGACATCAGTGAAAGTGATAGCAGTCACAGGAGACCCAAGCAAAGGAGGCGAGGTCGGCGTGGTAAACCATACATAAAACCAACAAGACGAAGTCAGCGAAATTCTCGTAATCTGCAGCGTTACTATAGTGACAGTATGGATGATGAAGATGAGGAAGATGATTTTGGTGAGTTCTGTTTGAGAGAAGCATATTTTTCTTGTTTGTATCTTTTCAACGTCATAATTTCCTTCAATTTTCCACAATTTGTGTTTGTTTGTTTTATAATTTCCTCATTAATTTTTAGGCCTACAGGTCTTGATCAAATTTTTTCACAAAATAAGACAACAGTATTTTGTAAAAGATTTTGTTTTGCTTTTTTGTTAAAGCTATATACAGCAATAAGTATATTGATTAAATATAATAAATTTGATTCAAAATTGTCAAAGAAATTATAGGAAAAAAAAACATGCAAATATTCCAAATGTTGCAGTAGTTGTGATCAGGCTCCATTTTTAAATACTGTGGAATACTTTATTTTCGCTGGAATTAATTTTTGCTGAAAAGGCTTTTTTGGGTGTTGTGTATGGAATTTATTTTCACTGATTTTTGATGACTTTAATGTGAAATATGGGAAAAAGAGTATATTCGCTGGATTTTATTTTCACGGAATCATCCCTTCAGCGAAAATAGCGAAAATAAATTCCAAGCGAAAATAAAGTATTCCACAGTAGTACTCTGATGAAGAATCATGTCGCCCATCTGTAATGTGATCCAGGCTCAGGAAGAATTTATCGTCATTTCCAACATGGGGGTTTACTGAGTGACTGAATTTGACAATTTACATATGTGCTATACCTACCTGACTATTGTCAATTGTTCTTATATTTCATACAGAGTCTGATGAGTCAAGTGATTACAGTGACGAGTTTCGTAGAAAACGAGCATTGCGTAAAATTGCACAAAAGCGACGTGTTAGTTACCGTGAACAGTCAGATAGCGGCAACTCAGCTACTGAGTCATCAGCAGATGAGAAACCACAACAAACGTTACCCCAGGAATTACGCAAGTCACGAGTGGTCAAGCACAGACTGGTTACAGACAGTGAAGAGGAATCAACGGAGAAAAGCAGTGAAGATGAAAAAAGTGATGACGAACAGGGAGAATCGATGGATCATAAGGACAGTGATTTTTCTGTGAATGAAATTGCAAAGCGTAAAAAGCGTTATGAAGACGACAGTGACTTTGAAGCAGAAGTAGCACGTAAGAAGCTTAAAGAAAGACATTCCCAACGGTCAGAGGGAAAGCGTGTTAATTACCAGGCATTGCTCGGGCAGAGTAGCGAGGAAGAAGATGAGGAGCAGAAAGAGGATGACGACATCGAAAGTGATGATGAAAGTGTTACTAAGGACCACAAAATTGTTGAAACGCATGTGAAACCGTTGAGTGCAACGGAGAAAAATGGCACTGTAAAATACAAAACCACAGACAAAGTTCGAATCGTGAATAGTGAAACTAGCGTTGACAAAATTGAGAACCAGGACAAAGAAGCGACTTCTGCAGCCACAGTTAGTGCGCCCTCAGTGGCGGCATCATCGGCTGAAGTGTCTCATGCAAATGGTCAAAATTTTTTTAATGGTGTTAAACCAGAACCTGAAGAAAGTGATGATGAAGATGAACTTTTGAATGTCACTGATCTTGTGGATTATGTAACAAGAGACACATTATAGTGGTGAAGTTGATATAAATAATGTACAAATGACTTATATATGAATATTAAGACAGGTTATGTATGCTGTCTGTGCATAATGCTGCTCTCTTTTTAAAGAGCTATAAAATGAGTAGAAGTCTCCTAGGTCACATGACTCCACAGTTTTTAATTATCACTACAACTGCCAAACAATATTATTCAAAAGTAAACAGTCTCTTCTCCACAGCCATTTATTTTTAGAGTGTAATTCTCAATAACTAAATTTGCATACTGCAAGCTGGTCCTTCTATGCCACTGTGCATTCTAGTGAATTTTTTTTTTATTGTACCTACATTGGTAAATCTGTTTTAAATTGTAGTCATGCAGTGTTTTAACATTCCTGCTATTTGTTACTTTAATCTTCTCAGAATTACCCCCTCCTCTGATAACAGACACACAAGCGCAACATCTGCAAGAAAAGCTGAAAATCATATTTTGATCAACTAAGATGAATACCAACAGATTTGACCAAGGTACATTTGCTTCTAAGAATACAAATACAATGTACACAGTATCAGTATGTTGTCTACACATCAGTTATCTATGCTTTGGTTTCTCTTGAAATAATTTTGCACGCCTATGTAAATATCCTGCATATGATTTAATTTCAATTAGCGTGTTAAACCCGCAAAATTATAATTAATATAAATACAGAAAAACAATTCTTGTATATTTCTATTGTAATATAAGGATACAGTAAAGGTGGGATTTTGCTTTAAAGATCGAATACTTCTTTACTTCGTATACTTTTGAAGTTTTGAAGTAGGAATTATGTTTGGTGTCAGTAAACGAAACATGCGAGGAAATTTGATGTTGAACGAGACGAGAGACAGTAATAGATGTAAATTTCTTTTCAATATATGAATACTTGTCTTGATAGTGATTTATCGTAGCAATTGTACTCGCATTATATTCACAATACCGATAGTTTCTGTTTATTACTCGGTTGCAAGTAAAACAATCACTTCATCCTACCGTGGTACATGTTAAAACGTCTTTTGTTGCGTCATGCTTTTATATTGGTGTGTTTGTACCCCTCTCCTCCCTTTGGTTGCAAATCACGGCTTATCACAATACAACCAAGTTAAATTAAAACGGAAAAGGTCATTGAAAGAAAACTGCCATCAGCCCCAAAATTACAATTTAGTGAAGGGAATTAATCCATTTGATTCTGTTCCAGGCTCATTATGTTGATAGATGACTGTTGTATGATATATGATTCTAAAACAAAATTGCGACTGAATTTTCAGTTGTATAAGAATTGTATACAAGTTGTACTGAGTGATAAGAAACTATTTTTATTTGCAGACCGAAGAAATTATCTGTTTAAGACTTAGGTGTACTTTTTAGTTATGAAGTGACCATGATTTTTCAATACTTTCTTATATAAAATAGCATTTTATCGAATTTCCTTGTGTTGTATATAACTTTAGTAAAGCAGAGAATTGGTTTTCCAAATTAACCTCCTTTTTTTAATAACCCAGTAAGTCTGTTTTATGTGTCGCCTGTATGTAATGTGTTACCTTTGTTTTCCGATGTGGGCACTGAATCTTGTAACTCGCCACTGCATTTTAAAAAAAAAATTTAAACGAGTGCTCATAAATGTCAGAAAAATATTTGTCTGGTAAAATTTTCTTCACAGATATTCTTCTATTTTGATATTAAATTGTACCATAAAAAATTGTTCGGAACTTCATTTTAAGAATTGTGTAAAATCCACACAGCGTATCATATGTGACAGTGTCTATCATTTTGCTGATGGTGTGTCCAGTCAATTATGGAATATCTATTTGAAAAAGTGTGGAGGTAATTGCTGCCGGAAACTGGATGACATTTCTATGTACATGTACTTTGACTGCTGTAAAATACTTTATTTTCGTTTGGAATTAATTTTCTCTGAAGAGATGATTCAGTGAAAATAAATTCCAAACAAAACACACAAAAAGTCTTTTCAGCAAAAATTAATTCCAGTTAAAATAAAGTATTTTACAGCATTGGCTTTACAGCTGCCAATAATCTGAACCTTTGTTTGAATTATGCCCTCTACAGGCAACAAACTACAATGTATCTAAAGCACACAGGATTATGGGTAGCTTCGACTAGCTTTCTGTAGAATAATGTATGCTGCCACCAAGTTTTTAGCATTTGTTGTCTGGTGCTAAGTGTTTTAGATGTTGACTCATAACAATTTTAACCATACTTCCAGTCTATATATCTTTACTTGTAGCAAAAAACTATTTTTTTTTCTTTCTTTATTTTCGTAGGTAGAAGACTGTAATTTATATTTATTACTCTACATTATGAGTATTAAATAGCAATTTTTTAAGAATTAGGCAATTGTATTTTAGTCTGTTCCCCTTCCAACTCTGCTTGAACAGCGCCCTCTGTAACAGTGTATAGTGATCACCCAAAGTACTGTAGAAGACTTTATTTTAGCTGGAATTAATTTTCGCTGAAAAGTCTTTTTGGGTGTTTTGTATGAAATTTATTTTCACTGATTTTTATTGAGTTGAATGAGAAATATAGGAAAAAAAGTATATTCGCTGGATTTTATTTTCACTGACGCATTGCTTCAGCAAAAATAGCGAAAATAAAGTATTCTACAGTACTTCTTGTGTAACACAGTAAACATGCAATTATCTTATATCACTTTGACCTTCATACACAGGTTCATTTTACAGAACTATTGCCAACAGGATGGCCACATTAGACATTGCACGTAAGTCTGAAAATACAGTGTATTCATGCCTGTGGGCCAATTGTATTCAAACTTATTTTATACAGTTTTGGATACATATACATGTGTGTTCATTTCTTGATGCAATTCATGATGGCTAAAAATTCCTCAAAATCAAGCATTTCTGCCATTCATGAACAAGATCTCACTCGTGTATCAACATATTTTCTTCAAACTGATATATCCGATATCCCTTGATCAGACTTCGCACCTACATGTGTAATTGATTCCGGATAATTCAAGATGGTCAAATGCTGACTTGCGAATGTTCATTTGCCTTTTCTTTGTGGGTGAATCTCAGTCAGAGTACTTACATACATTTGCGTAGACCTAGTTGATGGCGATTCCCAACCAGAGTACATGTACCTACCATACATAGACCAAGTGAAGTAATTTCTCATATTAGCAGAGGAGCCATTGGTCTGAGTTTATCCTAGGTGGAGGTCACTTAATGTAAATGACATTTTGGGGACATGTCACCCTTTGGGGTCGTAATTTTTAGCTGTTTGGGTCTAGAAAGGGGTATAGCTGCGCTCCTTTAGATCCAATATCAGGTTTGCCTGTCTAGGATGGGGCCGGGGAATGGGTAAGTTTAGCTCCGCTGTCGACTTTGTCGAGCGGAGCTTATCATATGAGTGATTGTCCGTCGTCGTCGTCCGTGTTAATGTTTTACTTTTTCGACTTCTTCTTGAAAACTACAAGCCTGAATGCTTTGATACTTGGTGTATATGTACCTTGGATAGACCTCTCTTAGGTTTGTTCATTTCATGTTGATATCTTCAATTCTCTAATTTTGGTAAAAAGTGATATTTTCGACTTCTTGTTAAAAACCGCAAGTCCAATTGATTTGATACTACATATATAGGTACTACATGTGTTGATACTACATATATAGGTACTACATGTGGACCTCTCTCAGATTGTTCATTTTGTAATGATATCTTTAATTCTCTAATTTGGTGAATATTTTTATCAATTTTGGTAAAAAGTGATATTTCGACTTCTTGTTAAAAACCGCAAGTCCAATTGCTTTGATACTACATATATAGGTACTACATGTGGACCTCTCTCAAATTTGTTCATTTTGTGATGATATCTTCAATTCTCTAATTTTGGTGAATATTTTTGTAATTTTTGGTAAAAAGTGATATTGAGAACCCATTCCATAACATTCCCTGGGGAATTTTATTAAAATTTATAATTATAATATTCTCTCATTGTGCAATACTCCATTGCCTGATCACACATCCCGTTCACCTGACACCACCTGGTACTGAGGGAGTGCATGGGTTGGACTTCCTTTCTCATGTTTATTATGTTTACATTGCATTTCTTTGAATTTATTGAGAAGTTATGCTTTCATTATACACGTAATTACCGTTTGTTGTTCGCATCACAAGCAAACACGTGCAGTCAAAATCTGATTCTCAAAATAACCATGACTTAAAATCGGCAAAGAAAAAGGATAACCATGGTGATGGCTGTGTTCTTGTTTTCCTGTGTACTCAGGGTCAATTGATTATGCATGTGAATTTAAATAGGAAAAAAATTACTACAATTAATACATTATTCAAAAAAACAGTTTTACTTCCAATTCTTGATCTAAAATTAGCTTTGACGAATAATCTTACACTTACAGTTAATTTGTTATTTATTCTACTGACTGTGAAGTACTTGTCTATGCACTTGGATAAAGTGGTGACTACTCACATTGTTGTGGCATATAAACTAAACACAATGTGGAAACCTTGACTGACCCATGGTTGTGTACTATAGCAAGACCTTTTATTTACTTAGTCTAGAAGACACCACACCCTTGCTCAACTATAGAGGGTGCTGTTCAAACAACTGTCACAATTTTGAAGTTGACATATACAATGAGAGGTTCTCTCTCATAATATGTGCAGTAACATGCTTATTTTTACATACTTATGTTTACATGCTTATTTGAAACTGCCTTAAGTCATAGTTATTGTTGTCTAATTTCTTCATTAAATCGCGAAAATTAAAAGCGACATAAATATATTATAGTGGTTTAACAGCATAGTAACATTTTGTATACTGTGGAATACTTTATTTTCGCTGGAATTAATTTTCGCCGAAAAAGCTTTTTGGGCGTGTTGTGTGGAATTTATTTTCACTGATTTTTGATCAGTTTAATGTGAAATATAGGAACAAAAGTATATTCGCTGGATTTTATTTTCACGGCATTACCCCTTCAGCGAAAATAAATTCCAAGCGAAAATAAAGTATTCTACAGTACATTTGTAATTAACCGATTCAGAGAAATTTCTTACTATCATGCTTCTCTTTCTAAAAAATGCTTCCTGTTTTTTTTAGCTTGCAATCTGACCATGACTACTTCTGTTGTATCACATCCCTCCCCACACAACCCCAAATTGTCTTTGCCTCTAGCCGAGGTTTAATTCAAATTGGAGCTTCATCAGTGTGAATGATTTAGCTCAGAGATAAAAAACAAAATCAGACTATAAACAGGACTATTTTGTGAATTTGTCATGAAAAGAGGGAACTGGCGATGAAAAAGTTAAATGGTGTTCTACTCTCTGGGTAATCCCTTCTGTTATCGCATTCTCTGTTCTCCTGACCGATATAATTTGGAACCGTCATAACATGAGTGAACAGGATACTATTTGAGGGAGAAAAAAAAACAAGTATGTTGTACATGCATAGCTCTTGCACATACTCTCTATGAAATCTTAACGGTATCTATGATCTATATTGGTCAGTTTGCAGACATGTTCAGTTCATTGACATCATATGCACATGCATTACGGTACAGTAAAATACTTTATTTCTTTCACTGAAGGGATGATTCAGTGAAAATCCAGCAAATACACTTTTTTTTTTTTTTCCTATATTTCATCAAAAATCAGTGAACTAAATTCCACCAACCCCCAAAACAGCAATTCAGCGAAAATTAATTCCAGCGAAAATAAAGTATTTTACAGTAGACTGTTCATAATCCAAATGACAGTCATTAATTACTAAAAATGCACCATAATCAAGCCAATTAATTCCATTATTCCGGGTATCAGTTGTGAATGGACTGATTTCATTTAAAAACTTGATGTATGTTATTTAGTTGTACAGATCTGATTTTGAATGTTTTTTAAAATGTCATTCCTGTGTCATATTCAGACTTTACACATTCTCCTTTACTACATCAGAGATTCAGAATTGCCAACTGGCATAAATCTTCATTAATGCCACACTTCTGCCATTTCGCAACTGAATATATTAGTACCAGTATTTCATTTTATTATTGTTTACTATAACTCACAGGATAACTGTGTCATGTCAACGTACTTAGTCCCCCACAACCAATGATGTTTAAAACAGCCCATAGTCAATCAAAACGACCACCAGCTTTGATTATAATACCGTCCAATTTGTTGCTTTTTAACATTAAATCAACAAATATATAGATATAAACATGCAGTGCCAGTTTTGTTGAGATCACCTGTATTTCCATTTTTTCCTCTTATTCAAAAACAAAACTTCATCACTGACACTTACATATTTATATTTAAAATAAAAATTATGAAATTGAATATATTCAAATATCTCTGGCATGAACATATTGTAGTCCTTCTATAGACTGCTCTGGAAATGGACTAAATTTCTTTTAAACAATGAACATAAGGCCAGACTATTATTATCCCTTTTTTCGCGAACCCGCCGATTGAACAGGAGCCAACAATGAAATAAAAATAAAATTTTATTTCATCGTAATTTCCAGCCGACTTGTAAGTGCAAAAAATTGCTAAAAAAAATTATTTTTATCTTCATTTTTTTTCCGCTTAACAAACCCAAGTTGCATTTTTGTGGGTGTATCATGATCAAAATACCGAAGTCTCGTGCAGATGAGAAACAAGGTTATACATGGAATAAAATTTTATTTCATTTCTTCTCTTTGATCAATGATCTCCTTTACAATTCTTTGAGAATCATACAAATCTAATGGAAAAAAAGAATTGATTTTGGGTTTTTTCCGCCCTCCTCAAAAAAATTGTTTTATAAAAACTCGAGAAACAAGAAATAAAAAACGTCTGGCCTTACAGGTATTTTTATAATAATTTTATTATTACACTTATAGATTCCCCAAAGGGTTTGGCAATGGTTACAAATGTTTGAGAAAGAATAATGAATTAAAAAAAACTAAGCTAATACATTACAAAAAGAAATAATATCAAAACTAAGATAGGCAACGAAATGTGAAAGAAAATTTTCACTGGGGTCTTATTTCACACACACGTTTAGGACAATAGTTATGCATATCATTAATGTTGCATAGAACAATGCAACAACCCAACAGTTGACTGTGGACATGAAGAAAAATCGTTGAAGACAGATTACATTGTATAAAAGCAAAATTTCAGAATCCATTTTGAAATAATCCATTAAACATTAAACCTGATCTAATTCAAGTAATCCAAACATCGATTCAAGGATTTTAATAGTAATCAGAGAAAAGTAACACCATTTTGTTCACATCCATTTATTTTGTTATAATTGTTATGTACCTGTTGGGGAGGGCGGGGGGTAATTGTTTACAAAAATGTTAAAAGTATAAATTCATACCTCATTTACTAAGGGTCTATTTAGGGAGTCTGTGATATGATATACTGCACACATGCTGTCTAATATGCAGGTAGATTCTAAAAATAATTTTTTAATATATTTATAAAAAAAAATGTAACTGTGTCACAGGGAGCGATCATGGTGTTATGACAGGAGGTGTGGTGAATATATGTTTGTTTTCATTTTCTGTTGACATTTTAATTACATATGTACATTTACCAGTATGCAGGTGCTACACACATCACCCAATTGTCTTGACAGATTCCATGACATATCTGTCAAAGGCAATTCAGGATTTGAATAAAAAATTAAATCTGTTGCATATGCATTGTGGTGAGAACATGAAACTGGGCAGTGTACACATATGAACTCAAAGATTTCATTACCATATCTTGAATCTCAATAATAACGATAATGTTTGTAGAAATTACTACTGTAAAACATGTCTTTTTAGCTAGCATGCTCTTTTAGCTAATTTAGCTAATTCAAAATTTCGCTAAATTAAGATGTCGCTAATTAGAATACCGTTAGAGTATATTCTCACAGTAAGATTATTGGCACTTCAGCTAAATTAAGATTTAGTTAATTTATGCATTGAGGCAAATTTCAAAGTGTTTTACAGTAATTCACAAATCTGAACTTTACTTGTTTTGATATATCAAAGAAGCGAAATAATCAGTTTAACTTACTCGTGCAATTCTGCGTTTTCTCTGAATAGGATTAGACATAAAAATTGACACGGCCCCTCCCCCCTCCTCAAAATGAGATAGTGACCCTCCTGGTTAATGTAATGAATGCTACCTTAATACAATATGTGTATTTGACATGTGCAGACTTCTATAAATATTTTCCAGGCATCACTAATGTTTTCTCGTACATGTACTTTTGGATTAGTCATAACAACTGTGTTCTACTGTGTATATGTTGGTAGGTTTATGTTTTATCTTGTATCCCTGGTGATATTGGTCAACATTCTTTGATTAATGTGGCTTGGACATATGTGCATGTAATAGAAGTTTGGGAACAGGCTTTTAGCCCGTTGCCTGTATACCTGTCATTTTAGATAGGCATTCCACATTTTTGACAATCACAAAATTGCATTTGACAGGAAAAATTTCTACAAAGCTGTCCAATTCTGATTGAAAATTAACCAGTGAATTACAAAAAAACATAAATAATCAACAAAACATTGATTGTAAGTCTGTGTTTACAGACTACTATCATTCATTGGATTGACATTGAGACAGGCACTTTTTATTTCCAGGCTATATACCTGCATGGGTACGGTGTTAGGTCATTGTCAATGTCTGAAAGAATGTCAAAATGACAATCATCTGCATTGCTCAAGTTCAAAATTTCAACAATTTAGTTTGCATACATTGTATTTGTTGCATGGGACCCATACCAAAGTGAGGGAGACAACTGAAGATTTATGGAGGTGAAACTATTGTTTCAGAGGCAGAACCGACACTTGCTGCGCTTCCAGCGGAATCCTTCTTGTTGTAAATCTAGTCTTTATTACTGAGTCCATAAAAGTGACCATATTCCGAGGATTGCGTATATGGCTAATCCACAGTTTAATCGAATATGCCATCGTCAATACGTCATCTCAGATGAACCCTGCTAAAATGTTACCATGTCTTTTCATGATTTGCGGAACATGTATTACATTTGTAATGCATGTACACAAACGTAAATAAAGCCTGCATTGTGTACATTATGTACGACACCTCAACAAATCAGGAACATTATATTTGTTGTTAATTTTTTATTGAAGTAATGCTACGCAGACGGATCTAGAAAATCTTTTAGACCAGGGATCCAGTTTACACTGGGTTTGGTTTATTTTGGTTTATTGGTTGTTTATTTTGAATTAAATTAATTTAAATGTAATTGTGTTATTGTGTATATTGTGTTGTAGCTATCCAATCGTTGGAATCGTTGAATGATCAAATAGTACAGTACATCTTTAAACCTCATCGGGTGGATTGCGAAGACGGCCATGAAGATAACGACAGGGTACAACCGAAGGAAAATCTGAAATCCAACCTCAGCCTCATGAGAAGACTTCTAGTCGATGCACAAACTAAGTTTCGCAAGATGATGGAGGAAAATAAAAAACTGGCTGCCAGAATTGATGGTTCCATACAGGTAAGGGTAAGGAACAATGCTTTTAATTTTTAAAAAAATTAACAAGCATGCAATATTTTGTTAACTTGAAGCGAGGGAGTCGTCACCTGTGCATGCGGCAAACAGGCATAGCGTATTGTTTACAAACGAGCATCTCCCATGAGCCTTTGCGTTTTTAATGTACATTGTTATCGTCGCTTAGGACTCAATTCCCACGCCTGCTAAGGTGACCACACCTGTGCTTTAGTGATAGTTACTGACCAGGATTGATTACAAAGTTGTATGCTTTGGATTTTACTGGTTTTGGTGTTTTATTTTAAACTTGTGTAATCTGCCGTATTTGTTCTGGTAGTTAGTAGTGCATGTGATTTACATGAATTATAGAATTATAAAAATGTGGAATATTTTAATAATTCAGTATAATCCCTACAACAAATGCGATTGATGTGTTTCTATTCGAGATGTGTCTCTAATGACTAATTTTCACTGGGTTCAAATTTCACTGATTTACCATTTCAGGCATATTCAGTGGGTTTTAAATTCACAGTTTTATCTTTTAGGTAACGTGTTCTATGCTAAATTTTACATATTCACTAGGTTTTAATTTAGCGTATTTTCCAGTCAGCGAAATAAGCCAACCCAGTGAATAATTAACCCCTTTACAGTACTATAAAACCTGTCTAACTCATGAACACCAAATCCAAACTGGGAAAATTGTTCAGTTTATAAATTGGCAAGTTTGGCAAGTATGCAGTGAATAGTTTTATAACAGGTTTTATGTTATGTTAAAGGTGTTTGTGAAAATGCTGCTTACTATCAATTGTGATCATTTGATCAAAATAAATCTGATTGATCTTTCAGTCTGCCAATCAAGACATGAGCGTTCTACGTGCGGAGCTTGAAGACACCAATAAAAGAATTACAGAACTCAGCTCTGATAGTGAAAATAACAGAGAAGGTATTTCACAAAATCTTTTATCAAGAGATTTTTCAATCAAGTGTCGCCCCTTCCCCATCATCTTTTAGGCAGTTAGTATCAATCCTTTTAGCGCCAAACAAAACTTTTGTCACCAGTCGTACAATAGATTGAGGTAATTTTTTTTAAATTTTTTTTGTAACCTTAAATCAAAGACTTCTAGTCAATGACAAACTTGATCCAAAATGAACAAAGAAATTATAGAAGCTGCAGAAAACTTTGTAAAATGTGTAAAACTTGTGGCACTCAAAGAGTTATGTAAACATTCATTTTGGAAGGGGTGATCAGTAGCAAAATAATAACATACCAATTCATGCAGCTACATGTGTAGGTGATTTAGTGTGGTATGTACTAATTTTAGTCTACCATGCAGTATGTGTTTTTAACACTTGCATGAACAAAGTGTTTATTTTGGGCATGTACTCAGTGTTATTTCTCAGCTTTTCTTCCCATGTTTGTAGCAACTATTCATACGTTTCTAATTCTTTCTCAGTATTATTATTATTTTGTTGTTTCTACTGCCGCACCTTTTTTCACCATTGTTTGTTTAGTGGGTTTAGAAAACCTTTCGTCTCAGCTGGTTGCAACATGTGTCTTGAATCAGCTCTGTCAGATTTCAATGTGAACTAAATTTGGTTATAATTAGACATCTTTTTTGAGAAATGCCTTGCGGCCAAATAGAAATCACTCCAATTAACTTGCTTAGCTACATGCGTGCACTTAGTGCTGTGCGTGATGTATTCACTTATGTTACTTATGCTATTATTCACTGAGGCTGAAAAAAATAATAACAAATTTAAAAATAACAATAATGAATACAAATTCATTTTTGTGATGAGTAACAAACACATATCCATTCCCCTCTCGCAATTTCTGAAAAATACATTTGACAACAATGCCTCCTGAATAATTAATTATTTTTTTTTTTTCTCATTGACAACTGTACAATGCTTTTGATGTTTTTGTTGCCAGATTGGGTTTTTTTGTGCGTTTTTGGAGCTTTTTACTAATACTGTAAAATGACTAATTTTCACTGGGTTTAAATTTCACTGATTTACCATTTCAGGCATATTCAGTGGGTTTTAAATTCACGGTTTTATCATTTAGATAATGTGTTCTATGCTAAATTTTACATATTCACTGGGTTTTAATTTTATAATAGCGCATTTTCCAGTCAGCGAAATAAGCAAAATTAAAACCCAGTGAATAATCAACCTCTTTATAGTAGGTGGTTTTCCTGCAAGATCTCTCACATTGTGTAAAAGGTGCTGACTGAACCTCAAAATTCAATTTGAAGAACGATTTGATTTTGAATTTTCTTTTATATAGCTCAATGTCAATTGTAAGTCTTTGAAAGAGAAATATTGTGTTGAAATACGCTTACTTCATTAAAATTGAAAAAAATACTCCTAAAATACGTCACTACAATTCTATGACTTTTGTTTGTCCTGTTTCTGTGATTACATATAACAATGATATTCTTATTGTGCATGTTTTATGTATTAAAACAATTTATCATAATTTATAATTAGCTTCAAGTCTTATACATGTTAATATTTTGAAAAGTTGACTTCTGCTTTCAAAGGGTCAGAAAGTCCGTAATAATATCCAAAATTTGATTAGTTCACACCTGTAGGGACTCTGTCCAACTGTATACCCTATTTGATCTGTTCAAAGCACAACTCTATTAGAATTCCATATATTGTAGTTGTAAATATGACTTTAGATCGCTGCGGCATGCATGAGTAATAGAGCAAATTCATTAGATTAAATAATGATGTACTTAATACTATTTTATCATCTACCTAGATACGTACAAAATACAACAGCATGAACTCATCAAATTACGGGAAAAGAACACGCAGCTTGAAAGAGAAAAGAAAAAACTATTGAAGCAGTTAGACGAGTTGCGATACCTAGACCAGATGCCGATGGAGATTCCAAGCGCTGGAGAATTAAAAATACAACTTACCCAAACAGAACATGAGTTAGCCAGAGCTAAAGAAGCTTTAACCGGTGAGTTTCCGTCAGTATACCCCCCACCCCACCCCCACTCCCAGAATAGCAATGTGGCATATTTGCATAACAGTGGAGTACTGTAAAACATGTTGAAAAAGTGACATACTATTTTAGCGAATTGTGGTAAAATGATGTAATAGCGAAATGTTGATTTAGTGAATCTCTCGTCTTTGTTGATTTCCTGATTTCACAATACTTGTCTGTTGCCTGCCAAAGCAAATGCACAGTTATCACCTCCATAAAAACAAAGAAAAACTGTCAAGTGTTATAAGGAAGTGCTCCAGATTATTACATGTGTGTGTGTGTGTGTGTGTGTGTGTGTGGAGTAAAAGACGTTGTTTGGCTGCCATTTTGAATTTATAATGAAGTCATTAGAGACATTAAATTAGCGAATTAGTTCTCTCGCTAAATTGCGCTAAAAAGACATATTTGCGAAAAAGACATGTTTTACAGTATGTTTATCACCATCATGGTATTTATTGTTTATGAAAAATTAGAGAGTTTAGGGGACTCTACTCTATAATGTTGTAGAATGAACCCTGCAATTGTTATAGGGTATTCTAGCATCTTTATTGGAATTTTGAAATTTCAACCAAAAAAAGTTGTTTCTCAGCATTGCATACAGTACAGTTCTCGCATAAGCTTTGGCATTTGTGGCATCATTGTCGCCTACGCATGGCTTCATTGTCGCCTCATTATGGCTTCAGCATC